GACTGCAGGTAAGTATAAAGAGTTCAACACCAACTCTACCCCTAGTTTCTCTAAATTCAACTACAGTTCTTGTTCTTCCTGAGAATCTTTGCTCTGTAAACATTTATTCAGTGTTCAAAGCATTCTGTGTGTGTGTGTGTGTGTGTGTGTGCGTGCTTATACTTGATGTATTTTTTGTCCCTTTTCATGTTGTTATGAGCGTTATGCACCAGTTACTATCAATTTTCTCTTCATGACTTCTTTGACTGTTTATGTGTGCTAGAGAGTCACCTTGTAGGAGATCATGTATTCCATCATTGTTTGGTCTATCTATTGCTACGTAAGCAGTATTAAGTAGTAACTACTTAATCTTCTTTCTTCTTTCTAACATAGGTACATCTTCTTCTTTCTTTACATCTAACATATTTACATCTTTACATTTCTAACATAGGTACGACATATTTCGATTTTGTTGTGTTTTGAAGTGAAATTATTTTGAAGATGGAAAAGCATTTTCTCCCATTTCCTCAGAAATGGACAGTCTCAGGAAGGCCCAGAAGGTATGGAGGAAGATTTGAGGAAGGCAGGAGAAAGATGGGTAGGAGATGGTACTGAAATGATTGAATCTAAGGACTTGTCATAGATATTTTAAGAATAGGACACAAAGCATTGTGGCTTGCCAAGTTTGTAAGATGTGATTTATTCATCTCTCAGATTAAATTACATCATCCATATAATATTTAACACAAATTCTGGTTTATGAATATAAATGAGTTAAACAACACTTGACAAAAAAATATGAGAATTGGATTATGAAAAATTCTGAATAAATGTACATGTTTTAGTTTTAGGAATGTATCTAACCATTGCTTTTAACACAAACAGGATAGGTCAGATTTCCCTCCCAACAGGTTACTCGCAATGGATGTTCTGTCTGATATCCAGGTTTACATAGAAATTCAACAGAATCCCCTGTTGGGGCATACATTTTTTTCGTAGAAGACCATCGAAATTGTATGTTATGTCTTTCCATGACATCTTCTGATATTATACATACATCTGTAGGTTAAGAAAATGAACATAAACATTAAGTATTAAACAAATATTTTCCACAGAATTTCAGACTTTCAAATACAATCTTCTGTCCTTCTGTTCCCAAAACCTATTCCAAACCAATACACTGAAAATCCATCATCGAGATATAAATCATTGTAACTGATTAATGATGTAAAAATGAGTTCCTATGCTTAAGGTTTGATAATTAAATGTTATAATGAAAGATTCATCATGTCAATTACAACAGGAGGGGCTGTCATTAAGAACATTTTGTTGCTGTTACTGCTTGATCAAGAGGTTTTTCCAACTTTATTTCTTCCCACATTAATATTTAGTAGTCAAATATTTGACAGAATAGCTGTTGATTAATCTGTGAAAATTCTGTTAAAAATAGCAAAACATCTTTCTGTTTTCCCCAGGATCCATGTGAATATTAAAATATTTACCCAAGCACTTTGGTGGTGTGGACCACTGCCCATAGCTGCACGTTATGATCTTGTTTCCCTTAAGCACATACAAGGACTGGCACTGGTACTCAACTGACGATCCTGGGTCATATTCCGATTTGGGGAAGGTGGTCATGTCTCCATTGTCAATGGGTGGAGGGGGCCCACATTTTTCTCTAGGGTCTATAAAGAATATTATTTGATTTATTGAAAGTCCAAAGAAAAACAGGTTAAAGTAAAGCAAACAGAAATATAGCACAATATACAATACCAAGACTTGTGATCTCTGCTGACAGAAATGATTCACTGAAGAAACTGTAGTCACTTAAACTGAGAGGGGTACCTGGGTGGCTCAGTCGGTTAAGCATCCGACTTCGGCTTAGGTCATGATCTCATGGTTTGTGGGTTCAGGCCCCACGTCGGGGTCTGTGCTGACAGCTAGCTCAGAGTCTAGAGACTGCTTCAGATTCTGTATCACCCTCTCTCTCTGACCCTCTCCTGCTCACAGTGTCTTTCTCTCTCTCTCTCTCAGAAATAAATAAGAACATTAAAAAATTTTTTTAAAAAGCCCTGAGAACAATACTTTTAAGCCCTTCCTTTTATCCCATAGGAAAGTACACATAAAGCATTAACAAATATGTCTGCTTTGCAGTATTTTGGGATTAAAAATATTTTTCCTAGTGAATAAATGCCAGACAAATGGATAGCTAATATACACAAAGAAATCTTCTCATTAGTTACAACATACTGTAGTGTCTGCTGGATCTCTAGTCGCTGTGTATTGATTTTCATTGTTATTACAAAAGAAACTCAGCTTCTTTAATTAAGTCAAAGAATTACAAATTTGTATAATGTGAAAAGGAATTGCGGTCTCCTATGGACAGGATGAGGTAGAAATTTTTCTGCTTATCTCTTCTGCTAAGGAAAACTAAAATCCCTGAACATATTCGAAAAACCAACATAAGAGATTACGAGAGGTGCAGAGTAGATATCAATCTGATCAGAGACCTTGGGACTCAAGGAATTACAATGCAATGAGTTTGGGTTTCCATTTTGCCTTCTATGGATACTGGACTAAACACTGAAAAAGACTGGAACACAGAAATGATACCACGTTCAAGAAAAAAAAATCCCCCAAATTATCCGCTCTCTTTAGCTAAAAGCCCAGGAAAGGAGTATTCTAGCAAGATAGATACTTTTTTTACAATCATTGAATAACTCCCAAAAACATCATAGCTAAACCTCGACCAGTCCTCTCCTTGTGTTGCTCAGAGATCAACAGTGACCATCAGAGGCCGAGTGAGGAGCCCAGACTTCTATCCACACTCAGGGAACATGGCACCTCTCCACTTTCCATAGTGTCAGTGGAGGCCAAGTGGGAAGCCTGGACTTGCACTGTGTCTGGCAGTAATGGAGGCCTGATAAATAAGAGATGTCAATAAAATCCAGAGCCTTAAAACAGAATATCCCAAATGTCTAGAATACAACTGACAACCACTCATGATACTAGCACAAAAACAGACACTCAGATCAATGGAAAAGGACAGAGAACCCAGAAATGGACCCACAAACATGGGCAACTAATCTTTGACAAAGCAGGAAAGACTATCCAATGGATTAAGACAGTTTCTTCAGCAACTAGTGCTGGAAAACTGGACAGTGACATGCAGAAAAATGAATCTAAACCACTTTCTTACTCCAAACACAAAAATAAACTCAAAATGGATGAAGGACCTATATGTAAGACATGGAAGCCATCAAAATCCTCAAGGAGAAAGCAGGCAAATACCTCTTTGACCTTGGCCGCAGCAACTTCTTACTCAACATATCTCAGGAGGCAAAGAAAACAAAGGCAAAAATGAACTATTGGGACCTCGTTAAAATAAAAAGCTGTTGCATGGCGAAAGAATCAGTCATCAAAACTAAAAGTCAACCGATGGAATGCGAGAAGATATTTGCAAATGACATATCAGATAAAGGGTAAGTATCCAAAATCTATAAAGAACTTATCAAACTCAGCACCCAAAAAGCAAATGATCCAGTGAAGAAATGGGCAAAAGACATAGTAGACACTTCTCCAAAGAAGACATCCAGGTGGTGAAGCAACACATGAAAAAATGTTCAACGTCATTCATCATCAGGGAAATACAAATCAAAAGCAAAATGAGATACCACCTCACGTCTGTCAGAATGGCTAACATGAACAACTCAGGCAAGAACAGATGTTGGCGAGGATGTGGAGAAAGAGGATCTCTTTTGCATGGCTGGTGGGCATGCAAACTGGTGCGGCCACTCTGGAAAACAGTATGGACGGTCCTCAAAAAATAAAAATAGAATTGCCCTATGATCTAGAAATTGCTCTACTAGGTATTTATGCAAGGGATACAGCTATGCTGTTTTGAAGGGGCAAATGCACCCCAACGTTTATAGCAGCTCTGTTGATAATAACCATAGTACAGAAAGAGCCCAAAATGTACATCGATGGATGAAGGGATAAGGAAGATGTGAAATACACAGACACACACACACACACACACACACACAGGAGTATTACTTGGCAATCAAAAAAAAAAAAAAGAAATCTTGCCATTTGCAACAATGTGGATGGAACTAGAGGCTATTATGCTAAGTGATATTAGTCAGTCAGAGAAAGACAACATCATATGACTTCACTCATATGGGAACTTCAAGATACAAAACAGATGAACATCAGGGAGGGGAAGAAAAATAATATAAAAACAGGGAGGGGGACAAAACATAGAGATTCTTAAATATAGAAAACAGAGTTGCTGGAGGGGTTGAGGGAGGGGAGGATGGGCTAAATGGGTAGGCGCATTAAGGAATCTACACCTGAAATCATCATTGTACTATATTCTAACTTGGATGTAAATTACAAAATAAATAATTAAAAAAAAAATAGAAAATCACTCATTATAGGGGTATCTGAGTGGCTCAGTGTTGTGAGCATCCAACTCTTCTTGATTATGGCTAAGGTTATGATCCTGCAATCTGTGAGTTCGAGCCCTGTGCTGGGCTCTGTGATGGCAGAGAGGAGTCTGCTTGGGAATCTCTCTCTCAGTCTCTCTGCCCCTCCCCTGCTCTTGTGCTGGTGTGAGCACCCTCTTGCTCATTCTCCTAAAATAAAGAAAATTTTTAAAAAAGAGATAATTACTTGCTAGGCAAAGGTCAGGAAAATCACAAAAGAGAAAAGATAATCAACAGATGACAACCCTGAGATGATACAATTAATGGAATTATTTAGTGATGGCTTTTAAAAATCCAGTGGGACTTATAGAACTGAAAAATATAATGATGGACTTAAAGAAAAACCTTCTTGCATGGGATCAATCATGGATTACATGACAGGAAGATAAATAAACTTGAATATAGAATACAGATTACTTACTTTGAAAACAAACAGAAGTGGAGAGGGCTTCAAGGGGACCAGTAGGAGTATAGCAAGAGATGGACAACCAGCAAGAGGAAAGAAAGGGGTTAGAGATGAAAAAAAAAAAAGACTTCTGAAAATAATGTCTGAAAATTTCCCAAACTGGGCACAAGGCATAAACATTCATATTGAAATAGCCAAACAGGATAATCTTAAAGGAATTCATGCCGAGATACAGCATAATCAAACTGAGGAAAACTAAAGAGAAAAATCTCAAAAGCGGCTACACAGAAATTAGGCAAACTCCTAAGGGAAAAAGGGTTCAAGTGTCAGTGGGTTCTCATCTGTATCCACAAGCCAGAGAGAAGTGACAGCATTTTTCAAGTGTTAGAAGAAAAGAAACTACCATCCTTGAATGCTACATCAATGATGCCATCCTTAGGATATAAGGGAGAAATGAAGACGTTCTGAGACAAAGGAAAATGGGGAATATATCTCTAGCAGATCTATCTTTAAAGAATTGCTATAGGAAATCTTCAGGTAACACTGAAGAGATAACAGAGGGACTGAAACTTTATGCAGGAAGAAAGAACAACCAAACTGAGAAAAATAAGAGTATGTATTTTTACTTTAGGAAAAACTGCTCTTTTTCTTAAGCAGTTTGTTATGTTTGTGCAATGTTGTATCATTTCATATGGTCCTCAATATATGTAGAAGAAAGACTTAAGACATTTATGTTTACTGGGGGGAAAAAAAGCATTTATATTTAATGTGGGGAGAGTAAGAGGTGCCTGGAGGACTCAGTCAGTTAAGTGCCTGACCCTTGATCTCAGCTCAGGAGGTCTTGATCTCAGGGTCGTGAGTTCAAGCCTTGCTTTGGGTTCCACACTGGCTGTGAACTCTACTTAATAATAAATAAATAACATCAAATAAAATACAATGTGCAGAGGGTAAATGGACTTAAACGGAAGTAAGGTTTTCAGATTTCACTTCAAGTGTTAAAATGTCAAGACCCAAGGGAAATGATAAGCTATATATGTCGATCTTAATTCCTAGGGCAACCACTAATAAAACGATACAATGAGATATGTCCCCAAACAATACAGATATACCAAAATAAAGTTATTTAAAAATGTTCCAAAAGTCCATAGAGATAACAAGGAAAGGAAATGGGAGTGAGAAACAGGAAACACAAAACAAATAATAAAATGCCTACCACAGTCCCAATCTATCAAAAGTTACTTGAAGTGTGAGTAGTTTAAATACTTCAGTGAGAAATGGCAGACTGGACACATAACCAAGAACCAACCACATGGTGTCTAAAGGAAACTCACTTTAAACATGAAAATGTAGGTGGACTCAAAGTAAAAGACTGGAAAATATATATACCAGGCAAGAGTTGATTTGGAAAACAAGTGGCTACAGTAGCTCCCTGGTGGCTCCTCTTCTTTCCTAAACTATGAATACTGGAGTGTCCTATGACCGAGTTCTCATACTTTTTCTTCTCTATACACTAATTCCTGGGTTGAGCTCAGCTAGTCACTTTCCTTTAAATATAATCCACCTGCTGACGAAGCCCAAATTTGTATCCCATTTAATGATCATGCCCCAGCTGCTGATTCCATGTCTCCAAGTGTAATTTCATAGGGCAGTCAAATGTCCTCAGCGTATTTTTAGTACATTTATCCCTCAGGAAATAACCGAGTGTCTTAATGCTTAACATAGAGAATTTTCCATGATTCCAGGTGTCCTAATCTGGTCAAATCTTTCATAAAATAAATATATCATATCACTTATTCAGTCCACAAAAAGGGAAAATTGGAGGTTAAGCACCATCATTTTATTTAAGATTAAAAGATGATTCCATGATAACTATTTCATTATATACTTATGTTAACATATTTAGTCCCTAAAATATTCTCTAAGCTTTGGGGGGAAATAAGATACTCCAACTAGGCACTTGGTGGTAGTGTTCAGTTCCCATTTGAACATGTCACTCCTCTGCCCCCAACCAGGTGAAAAGGTTTAATGCATTCATAACCTGCCCTCTGACCGGGTGGGTGGACACTTAGGCATCTCTTCTAGAATAATGGCATTTTCCACTCTGGGTGGATTCACACAGGAGATATCTTAATAGAAAGAAAAAGAGAGTACCATCTCTAACATAATGATCATTTTGAGTAGCAAATCAACGAATGGGATTCCAAATATATCTCTAAGAGGATTTTAAGTCAACAGTTAATCTGTCATGAAAGACTACTAATTCTAAGAAAGTTATATATAAGATTGAAGAAAAGGAGATAAAGCAATATATTTTATTTTATAAGACTGAAACTTCTATGAAAATGAGAGTTTTTCTGGATAGTTACCTTACAGTTTAGTCAAATCACTATTTCAAATTATATATTTGCAAAATGAATTTATAAACCACAAGAAAATCATAATAAAAAGATTATTTAACATCACAATTAGGCTTGCAATTATCTGTTTCTGAATGTAATTTTAGGCCTTTAGAAAAATAAACACAACAGCCACTTCCTTAGAGAATAAATGAAAAATTAACACACTTTGAAGAATACCATAGCTGATGGAAGAAGATGGTTAACTGAGGGTCCAAATAGGAGATGAGTGGCAAAATAACAGAAAAATAAATGTATAATTGGTAAAAACAGTCTTCAATGATTTTTTTTTTTTTTTGCAAATGCTTAAGGACATTTTATGCATAATGTATAATTCACCAGTGAGTTTCAGGTGGATGTAAATTATAATAGACTATAGCTATGATTCCTAAATTGGAGTGTACACTGAATCCCTTGCAAACTGTTAAGACACTTTCAGGGCTGCATCCCCAGAGTTCAGGCAGCCACAGGTCTGAGCGAGCCTGTGAATTTACATTTTCATGTCTAACAATTTCCCGGAAGATGCTGATGCTGCTATTCCAGAGACCACAGTTTGAGAACTACCGGGCTTTAACCACTGAGTACACAATTTCATCCCTTTATGTAAAAGCATACACCTTCTTTGACCTGACCTAAAAAATAAACTATGTCCATTTTGTAAGTGCTGTTAGAAGGAATTCTTTCTTATATTACTAAAGACATTTAGACAAATAGATTTAAAAATTTTATTGAAGTACCTCTGCATATTGGCTTTCCTATCCATTGGCTGTCAATACACTGTACAGTATTTGGTCCATCCAAAAGGTAATGACTTGGACATTTATAAGTCACTTTTTCTCCTGTCCTATAGAATGCCTTCGGCTGGCCTATGGGTATGGCATTACCAAAGTCGGGTAAGCTGAAACAATCCGTGTCTGAAAGAAAAAGAATATGTACTTGTTCAATAAATATTTGAAAAAACATAATGACTAATAACTATAATGTAAAATAATAGGTACACATCTAACCTGTGAATACTGTGCAAATGTTTTTATAACTTAAACAAAATCTATTATCTTTATTTTTGTCAAATGTGTCAATAAAAACTATATACTTGTAAGGAGATAACAGAGGAACTAACAGTACATTGAATACAGATGAGATCGCTGAGCAGGGAGCAGCTATGATACAGGAACAGAGATGGGGAGTCTGAGGATGTGTATCACAGGAGGTCTCATGTGCACACAAAGTGACGTGAAAGTGAAATAATTTGGCTCATGCGGTCACACTTTTATTATTACTACAGCTACTGATTCTCTACTAGAATCCGCAGCTTTCCAGAGATACTTTGTTAAATCCTAGATTTACTGCCTACTTTCCTATTTGTACTATTTATGTTCTGAATTAAGGATATTTATCAACCTTAGAGTAAAATTAAATACACTATACTTTTGCATTCTGGTGGTTGGGACCATTTTCCTCCTAAACATTTTATAAGTGCAGGTCCGTTAATCCCAAAACCTTCGGTGCATCTGTATGTTACTTCTTCTCCATATTGGTAACTGTCTGATACAGGAGATGGAATCCCATGTGGAATCAAATGTGGTGGCGCACAAGGAAGTCCTAAAAAAAAGAAAGAGAGAAAGAAAGAATGACTCCATGTTTTACTAGATTTGAAATTTAATTTTATGTACTGGTGGCCATATTTGGCGGTTTTATTTGAATAAAATGATAACACAGGGTCTGCACTCATATCACACAGAAGGTGTACAAATCCTCCCTAAAACCATCATTCTGATGTGTATCCAGCTGGCAACCTGAGTAGGAACTTGATATTGAACATGTCAATACATTTTTGGCTGTCGCAACTTCTTCTAGATATGTTTCCTGAGGCAAGGGAAACAAAAGCAAAAATAAACTATTGGGACTACATTAAAATAAAATGCTTCTGCATAGTAAAGGAAACAATCAATAAAACTAAAAGGCAACCTACAGAAAGGGAGAAGATATTTGCAAATGACATATCTGATAAAGGGCTAGTGACCAAAATATATAAGGACCTTCTGAAACTCAACATCCAAAAAACTTATAATCCAATTAAAAATGGACAGAAAAATGAACACACATACATCCAAAGAAGACATACAGACAGCCAAGAGACACATGAAGAAATGAACATCACTGATCATCAGGGAAATGCAATTCAACACTGCAATGAGTTGTCACCTCATACATGTCAGGCTAAAATCAACAAAGAAACAACAAGTGTTGGCCAGGATGTTGGTGTGAGAATGCAAACTGGTGTAGCCACTCATGAAAAAAGTATGGAGATTCCTCAAAGAGTTAAACCGTTGAACTAGATTTAGTGATTGCATTACTAGATATTCACTGAGACATACAAAAATACTACTTCAAAGGGATACCTGTACCTTGATGTTTATAGCAGCATTATTTACAATTGCTGAGATATGGAAATAGTTCAAGAGTCCATAGATAGATGAATGGATCAAGAAGAGGTGGTATATATATATATATATATATATACACAATGGAATATTACTCAGCCATAAAAAGAATGAAATCTTGTGATTTGCAATGACACGGATGGAGCTAGAGAGTATAATGCTAAGTGAAATAAGTCAGAAAAAGACAAATAACATGATTACACACACTCATGTGGAAGGTAAGAAACAAAACATATGAGCAAAGGGGGTAAAAAAACAGGCAAACCAAGAAACACTCTTAATTATAGTTAACAATGTGGTTACTAGAAGGGAGGTGGGTGGGAGGATGGGTTTAATAGGTGATGGGGATACAGGAGAGCACTTGTTTTGAGCACCAGGTGTTGTATAGAAGTGCTGAATCATCATATTCTACACATGAAACTAATATTACACTGCGTGTTAACTAATTGGAATTTAAACTAAAACTTAATAATAAGAATTTCAATATATTTATGAAAGAAACCATCAGTGTTTTTCAAACCAATAGTGAATAATAAAAAGAGCACTGAGAATTAATCATCTTAAGTACCATGTACTGTAATAACTCAGAAATGACATTATACGACAAACAAAAATTTGTAAGCAAATTTTTTCAATGACTCAAGGCAAAGCAAACAGTACAAGTTGTATAAATGGGAAAGGTATATGAATAGGTAGGTTTAACTGCACTACACATCTAGTTTTCATTAAACAATTGCCAGAATTCAAAGTGAGTCTGTAATGAATCAATGATATTATCATAAAGAGGATAGTACATAAATGTATAAATGAGTTTAGATATTTTATCTATGAATGAGTTTATATATTTGGAGACCTAAAGTATTCTTTCTCATGACTTTGATGACAACTGATTATGTTTAATGGATTCTATCAAACATAGAATTGTGGTTTTTGCATACTGTCCTCACCTACACACCGAGGTGGAGAACTCCATTTTCCTATGTGGCACATTATCTCATCTTTTCCAGATATCTTGAAACCATCCTCACAAGCATAATTTAATTTGGTGCCATGTGCATAAACCACAGGTTTCAATGTTGCATCCATTTCTTCTGAAAATTTAGATGCTTTGATGGTTCCATGTTCTATCTGAGGTGGTTGAGGACATGGGTTTTTTTCTGTATAGAGAACAGAGATCAAAAGGGCAAGTTCGGATACAATGTTGAAAAAAAATGCAATCAAATCCTAGTTGAGATTTTAAAATAAGGTGAATTTGAACATATTAAATTACCGAAAAACTGAAAAACACATAAAACTTGCAAGCCTATATGTCTCCAGCAAATCTATGCTAGTATCTGCTTCATTCTTGTCCTATTCATCACAAGGAGTGCAGCAGGCATAAACAGAAATTTTCTACAGTATTCACACTAGTAATATAAAGTTTTTTCTGTTCATTTCATACTAGAAGTGAAAGAATACTGAGTTATTTGTATATTATAGAAGTATATTTGATTATATACTTATAATGTAACTTACTGTTTCAAGATAAAGTGAAGTAGATATAGAGAAAGGTTCTTATCTTGTTCATCTACACAAAGCACAGGGGAATATTAACCTCATTTGAAAGAATGTTATGAAGCAAGTGATGCTTTACTGACCAACACAGTGTGGTATCGACTGCCATCTTCCATCTTTGCATTCGATTTTGTCTTCATCTTGAGTTATATAACCATCCTGACAGACAACAGATACTTTTTCTCCATCCCGATAATTTATTGTCGTTGACATACTCTGAGCATTGGGAATCTGAGGTGGAGGTGGGCATGACTGCATTTGTACTTCTAGAAATATTAAAATTAGATTTCTTGATTAAAATCATAAGTTGAAAATACTAAAAAGAAAATTTAACAGAAAACCTAATAATAATGCATCATAATTGATCAAATAATAATGTTATGCTTAAAAATGTTATGCTCTTCAGCTTGTAGAGCATGTTAATATATCACACGTGGTTTATATTCTCATGGTCTTAATGGTACTATCTTCCTTTTATTCCTTCTGTGATAAATCTTGCCTAATTTATGTAAAACTTATTTTAATTATTTTAACCATTATGATGTGCTAACTGAATTGTCTACTCAGTAACAGGCACTAAATAAATATTGATATCAAGATCTTTTTACAGCTATCCATAATCAAATGTATTGTGATTGGATTTAAATTCTTATAAGATGTTGTATGGAAAATAATTAGCCAGAGGAAGAATTACATGTATTTAATGATCAATTATCTGATACAGGTTCTTGGACAACATATGAATTAGATATGGTCACTAGTGTTTTATTGTGTGTTGTTTAAAGTTCAAAACTCCTTGGAGATACTGTTTACTAGCTTGCTGACACTTATTAGAGATATACAGACTGAGGAAATGCACCCTGTTTAATGGATTAGACAGCCTGACTTTAGTTCTATGATCAGCAAGTTATATAAGATTTCTTTGCAAACTTGAGTTTAAGCTCCCATAAAGCTGAGATACCTCACATGTATCGTGGCAGTTCATAATCTGAAGACAAAGCATGTCCTGTTCGGCTGAGGGAAGACTCTGGATGACCATACCTAAGGCTTTCGGAACTCTCTATGATACCTTGAGTTTGCTTTTTCCTGTTATGCGTTTATTTCATTTAAGACCTTACATGAGTGTACACTGGGAATTCTGGTGAGTCCTTTCAATTATCCGATATTTTGTATTCAATTCAGAGAAATTGTTGACAGAATATAATTCATTCATGCTGACTAATATTGTCATGTTTTCTACCTTTAGATAGATGTAGGAATATTTTATACTTAATCAAAAGTTTTTTCTTATTTCTGTTTAAATATCTTGGCATATTTTTTCAATGTATTCTCAAGGATTTTTTTCTTCTATATGTGCTGTGTAATCAGTTTTGTCCTAATGATCTTAATTTGTACTTCGTCTTGATACATTTTCCAGAGGTTAGTCTGGCAACTAAATATTCCCTAAAGGCAAAATCATTATTCTACAAATCCTGTGTTTATGCTTTTTGAAAAGCTTCTTTGTATTTTTGCACTTATTATTTGTATTTTATATTTTTACATTTAAAAAAATTATTCTGTACTATTGCTGTAGTTCTTTGTACAACAAACATACCACAAAAATGCTGCTCATGGAGGATAAATTTATTTAGGATAAAATGAATATCTGGAAATTCAGCAAGAAAATTCTTATTAACTGACAGGTCAAAAATGAAACCGCAAGGAATATTAGGAAACATTTCATAGAATTCAATGAAAATGAAATGTATATAAAAATGTTGAGACTGGGGAGCCTGGGTGGCTCAGTCGGTTAAGCGTCCGACATCAGCTCAGGTCATGATCTCACGGTTTGTGGGTTCAAGCCCCGCGTCGGGCTCTGTGCTGACAGCAGGCTCAGAGCCTGAAGCCTGTTCCAGATTCTGTGTGTCTCTCTCTCTCTGACCCTCCCCTGATCAAGCTGTCTCTAGCCCTCTCTCAAAAATAAATTTAAAAAAACATTTAAAAAAAAGTTGAGACTGCTACAACAGTTTTAGGAGGAAAAATGAAGTTAATCCTTAACAGTAGGATGTTCTAAACCCAAGTATTAATTTTCTATATTAAGAAACAGAAAAAGTAAAATGAAAATAAAAGTAAGTAGAAAAAAAAATTAATCCCATAGAGGAGAGATTTGAGAAGGACAAATAGAAAAGAGAAAATAGAAAAAATAGTGAATGTTAATAAGACTAAGAAATAGAATAGAGAGTATTTGGAGAAAATCCAGTGTTAAAATTGGTTATGTGGAAATGTTAATTAAGTTGTAGGAAAAAAATTCAGGAAAATAATCTAGATAAAAACGAAAAATAAATATCAAAGTTAAGAATGAAAGAAGAGTTATCAGCAAAGAAACAATATAATTAAAAGGAAAACAGAATATGAAAGGAATATTAGAAACAATTTTATACCAGTCAATTTGATAAATGAGAGATTTCTTGAAAAATACAACTTCCTTTCTTTGACAAAAGACAATAAGAAAATTGGAATTTTCATTATTTATTAAAGAAACTGAATTCTTCATCAAGAAAATGTGCAAAAAAGCAAATGATATATCAGATGACTTTGTACATAAATTCTATCAATCATTTAAGATAAAAATAATGAAATAAAAAGTGTAATTACGTGTGTGTGTGTGTGTATATACATATTTGTCTATTTGTTTTATGAGGCCACACAAATACTGATAACAAAACTTGGGAGAGGCATTAAAAGAAAAAGCATGTATAGATTAAGATCTCCCTGAGTATAGATGCAAAACTTCTTAAAACCATGTCAGCAAATTGAGTATATGAAAATATAAAAGAGTTACCTCTAGGAATAAGAGATTTGGTCAACATTCAAAAAGTTACATATATAATTCACTAGATTAAAAGAGTTAATAAAGCCATATTATCCATAAAGAGCATTTAAAAATATCCAAATTGGTTGATCATAAAATTTCTCACTCAGCTCAATAAGAATAGAGGGAATAGTTCTCTTAAACTGATAAAGGGCATCTACAAAAACCCTAAATTGACATTATAATTGTGGTACAATGTCCAATATCCTCTCTCTGTGGTCAGGAATAGGACAAAGATGTGTCTTCTCATCACTTCCTTTCAACAGATTACTGGAGGCCCTAACCAGTACGATAAAAAAAAAAAAAAAAAAAAAAAAAAATCGGGCGCCTGGGTGGCTTAGTTGGTTAAGCTTCCGACTTTCGCTTAGGTCACGATCTCACGGTTCGTGGGTTCGAGCCCCGCGTCGGGCTCTGTGCTGACTGCCAGCTCAGAGCCTGGAGCATGTTTCAGAGTCTGTGACTCCCTCTCTCTCTGACCCTCCCCTACTCATGCTCTCTCTCTCCTAGAAATAAATAAAACATTTAAAAAAAAAAAATCAAAATCAAATAGTCTGGCAAAAATGAAATCTTGGAGTAGCACTGATATAATTGCTTACACAAAATGGAAACAGATCTACGAAACAATTCCTAAAATGAAAAATACAGCTTAGTAGAGTGTCAGACGATATAATCAATATGCGCAAACCAAGTGTGAGGGCAAACGCATAAAAAGATCCCGAATTCTTCTCCTCCCACAGACACACTGAATCTACAGGTACACGGGCAACAATATCCAGTGGAAAGACCTGAAAACCAGCTGAAGCGCTCCTGCACAACAGACAGTAAGCGGGCCACACTGACATGGGCAGGAGAGTCAGGGGCACAGTCTGGAACGAGCCCCCTCCCCTGGCAGGGCTGCACACATTCAGGAGGCATCTCACTGATCCAGAGCTTCTCCCTGTGGAGTAAGGGGTTTGCTCCCCACATTAACAGCCCAAACCCTGGGATCGGAAACAGGAAGATGAGCCCCCAAAATGTCTGCCTTTGAAAACCAACAGGGCTCACATCCCAAAGATCCAAAGGGCTGTAGAGAACTGAGACACATTTCTTAAAAAAATGTTGAAAAATATTTATTTTTTACAGAGAGAGTGTGGTGGGAGAGGGGCAGAGAGAGAGGGAGACAGAGAATCTGAGCAGGCTTCAGCCTCCAAGCTGCTTGCACAGAGCTCAACAAACAGGGGCTCCAACTCACAAACTGTGAGATCCTGACCTGAGCTGAAGTCAGATGACTAACAGACTGAGCCACCCAGGCATCAAACGGGATACTTTTCTCAAAGAGCTTGCACCCAGACTCACTACCCCCAGGGGCCCTATGCGAAAGAACAGTCTGAGAAACACCTAGACATATGAGGAGGAGATTCATTTGCTCATCTTAAAGCATCTGCCTGAGGGGCAGGCGTCTGTTGGGACTCTCTCCGGGATGGGGGTGCTGGCAGGGGCCATTTCTACATGTTCCCTCTACCTCGATGGCAGCGGTGGGCGCAGTCCAGCCCAGCGCTCTCCTGTGGCTTCATCAATGCCGGTGAGCGTGCCCCAGCCCCGCATTCTCCTGCCTCCCTAAAGCTGGCCAGCAGGCTCAGTCCACAGAGGGGACACTCCTTGACCCCCAGGCTCTAGTGGCCAGAAGGACTTGCATTTCTGGGGCCTGCAGGCCTGGAAGATTCAGAGACAGAACTCTTGGTGGGCCACTACCTCCAGGGCACTACACAGCAGCCTGAAACTCAAGCCCCGGCTTTCTGGGGAAAAGGCCTAGTTCTTTGTCTTAGAACGTTAGCCTGAGGGGTGGACTTCAGATTTGCCTCACATCTGGAGGCCACCGAGGTGCTCTCAGGGAATGTGGCCCAGGGGGATGCCATCTTTGTGCTCTCCTCAGCCTCACAGGAAACCAAAGCACTAATTCTTAAAGATACCTGATTGGATGTTAATTTAAGGCCATCAAGTTTCTGGGTGGTTTGTTGTGTAGCTGACTAAAGCACTGATGCAATTAACATTTAGAAATGATGTTTTTGTTACTTTCTAAATTCCCTTCCAGCCTGAAAGTTATTTGTAATAATAAATTGCTAAACGTATTAAAAAGATGCCGAAATACTGCTTTAGCAAGTTAGGATGAAACAGACTATGATTTTGAAAATACTATAAACAAGAGCTTACCTGTGCAGCTTAGTTTAGGATCCCATCTTCCATTAATGCACGTTGAGTGTTTCTGTTCTAGTTTTCCTTTACATCTGTAACTTATGTTCTCATTATGATCAAATTCGGTCTTATGTAATGGATTTGCCTCACGTATAGTTAAGCTGTATTCACACGTCTCAAGTTCATTCGTTGCTAGAAAATGAAAATATCTCCTTGAAAAGACTAACTGTAAGCATCAAAGCAACTAAAGAAAAAAATAGCTTAGACTCAATACTATAACGAAATTAGAATTTAGGCCAATAAATCCCACAACCAAATTATTCCTGATCATATTGCATGTGATGAGCTATTTACTATGTCTTAACATAAGTCCTGTGTGTGTTCTTTGAAGTTTCAGAGAAAATGTCTGTCATAAATATATTCTGCACTTTGGGGATTAGAAAAGCAGAAGAGGCTCACTTTTTTGGATGATCTATACACTGAACAGTCATCACCTGATTAAACTTGGTCTCATTTATCTGAGGAATTAGAATATATGAAGTTTCTAGTTTAAATATATTTTTCAAAAAATATATTTTTTCATTTATGGTAATTTAATAAGTATATCTAAGATGCATTATATAAAATGTGAGTACTTAAGTAGATCTTTTGCAATATCACTAAAATGGGACAAAACTTGGACTAAGAAATGAGGTGCTTCAAGTCACAACTTGTTTGCTGTATATACCGTACAATCTTTGAAAAGCTATTTTATATACCAGGTCTACCTATAATTCAATAATAGGTGGCCTGGAGTAAATTTTGTTGGCTCTAATATAACAACTTTTTATACAACTACATACTTCAACAATTCAATGAAGATTGGAGTGCTTTGTAGATCTGATAAAATATCAGTTGATGTAGGTCTTTGGATTTATTAATAATTACCCAAGAAGTTAAGATTTTGTGGGGTGCCTGGGTGGCTCCGTCGGTTAAGTGCCAACTTAAGCTCAGGTCATGTTCTCATGATGCATGGGTTCAAGGCCTGCATAGGGATCTGTGCTGATAGCTCAGGGCCTGGAGCCTGCTTTGGATTCTGTGTCTCCTCTCTCTATCTCCCCTCCCCTACTCCCTCACTGTCTCTCTCTCTCAAAAGTAAATAAACATTAAAACAGTTTTAAGAAAGTAATTATTTTCTAATACAATAAAAAGATAAAACCAAGGAGAATAATTCAAAACACACTAGAGGCTGAAAATTAATTCTATTTTTAGGGCTTGTCCTCAGTGTTGAGGGAGGGAAAACAAGGTGTTCTTCAGGTGATAGTAACTGATCTGTAGTCCAAAGGGGTGGTGCTGGATGTTGTCATGGTCCTATGATTGATTGATTGGTTTCTGAAAGAATTTCCTTGTTTCTTAGGAAAAAATAAACATTTTGAGAAATGAAAACGTAGACTAGCTTGAAGTACAAAATAAACACTGAGCAGAGAAAATTAGAGTAACATCTACGATAGTTAAAGGGGGATTATGTTAAACTTGCATACAGGTAGAAGATGAACCTTAGGAAGGCAAACTCTGAGATCTAAGAAAAGTAAAAAATGAAACATTTTAGTATAAGAGTGAAAAGTTGAGAGTTTTCATGCCTGTTATAACCTTAGGTTTTCCCCCATATAAAATGAGGGAAATCACTTGTGGATACAGAAGATGAGAAAAATGAAATCTGGTCTTGAAGGACTGGCAATACTTCTCATGGGAATGTGTTTAGCAAAAATGGAAGAACTAATATGGAACAAAGCTTACAGATTCAGTCAGCAAACTCCTATTTAATGTCTGCTCTATGTTCACCAGTCTTTTGGATGTTGGGAATACATCATGAACAAAACAGGTGTAAATCTCTGCTCTCATGAAACATGAGCCTAAGCGCTACCTTCTCCTTGGAACAATTAATGCCTAGAAATCTGCTGGATGAGTAAGCTTGGCCATCCAGGGCTCTCGTTGAATGTAGGATCTAGGAAAACTCTAGGAAAGAACTCATTCTAAGGGAAAAATGAAAAGGGCCCCCAATATTTTCCCTGTCAGTCATCCAAGACTTGCTCATCCAAAGTGAGGTGAAGTCCATCAATCAGGTTTGTTTCCTGGCCCTACCCTGTCTCTTCTGACTGACTTTTACTCCTAACAGAGAGGGTCTGCAGCTCACCCACCCTTTGGCATATTAACTTCTTGTTGCTGCATTTGAAACAGACTGAGAAATCCTTAGAAGCGTTGAGAGAGGCAAGATTCCTATAGGGATGTAGCAAGTGGGTATTTTCTTATCTTTATCTGTTTTCCAAGGCCTGAAACAAGAGTGCCACATAAAACAAAACTGGGATTTATGTATATATGGTTCTATTTACCTGGCAATTAATGTTCAGATTTAAACCATACAAATAAATGTAAGTAAAATTAAGCTTCACACTTAAAAACAATGTTAATATCAGGGATAGAAAGGGCAATAAAACTCTCTTGCTAGGTTATATTTCTCCTTTGTAGAGTATCAGCAATCATTATAATTTAAGACCTGACATTTTCAAGCATATATCTAAGTTTCAACTATGTTTGCAAATATCATTTTTACAATGAAAACATTACATTTCATTCACTGTCTATTTGAGAAGTGTCTTCTCACCAATGCACTGAGGAAGTTGGGTCCATAGTCCACTTATACATGTAATTGATCTGTTTCCAATCATTGTGAATTCTTCTCTGCAACTGAACTCCACTGAATCTCCATGGTGATAGGGAGGATTAGAAGTCTCAATAGCGTACCCATATTCAAGTTCAGGTATCTCTCCACATGTACTCTCCACCTCTGTGAAAAGTTTAGAAAAATATGCTTATTTATTAAATACAGTTTCTATACTTATATAGATACAAAAGTTTGCTTTATTTAAATATTAATATATATTTTTTGTTTTTTATTTATTTCTGAGAGAAACAGCATGAGCAGGGGAGGGTCAGAGAGAGAGGGAGACACAGAACCCTAAAAAGGCTCCAGGTCTGAGCTGTCAGCACAGAGCCCAACATGGGGCTCCAACCCACGAACTGCGAGATCATAACCTGAGCCAAAGTCAGATGCTTAACCGACTGAGCCACCCAGGTGACCCTAAATATTATACATTTTATACATTACCAATACAAATCGGCAAGTCTGTCCATTGTCCATCAACACACTGAATTTTATTAAAACCCTTCATCAGGAATCTAGGATTACACACATATTCCACCAATTCACTGTGTTCATAGTTTTCTCTCTCTGTTTCTTTAACTTTTCCGTTAAGGAGTTGAGGAGGTGTAGAACACTGTTTTGTTTGCTCTAGAGGAGAAATACTGTGTAAATAATTATCAAATTACCTATTTGACAACTTAAAAACCAATAACATGGAGTGGATTTTTTTAACAATTTAAATACCAATAAAACGGAGGAGATTATAGCCTCCTGAATCAATAAAAAAACAAATAGTGCTTTAACCAGAAACATGTTTCCAAGTTGTTTTTAAAACATTTTAAGAGAGAGAGAGAGCATGAGTGGGGGAGATGGGCAGAGAGAGAGAATATTAAGCAGACCCTATGCTCAGTGTGGAGCCCAACATGGGGCTCGATCCCATGACCCAGGGATCATGACTGGAGATGAACTGCAGAGTGAAATGCTCAATGACTGAGTCACTGAGGCACCCTAACCCAGTTCTATTACTTACACTGAAATAGTATATTGGAAGTATATTGAAACCCAGAAAATATGTTTAATCATCTAGATTCTAAAGATGTGTGCAAACCAGATACTCAATATGGCTATGTAAATTATATAGCAATATTCTTATTCCATGGTAACATTTCATCAAAACTGTTTAAGAAATGTCATCATTTGAGGCAAGCATTTTATCAACATATTTTATTTAAACATTTTTAAAGATCTTATTTATTTTTGAGAGAGAAATAGAAACAGTGTGAGCAGGGGAGGGTCAGAGAGAGAGGGAGATACAGAATCTGAAGACAGGCTCCAGGCTCTGAGCTGTCAGCACAGAGCCTGACGCGGGGCTCAAATCCACAAACCTGTGAGATCATGACCTGAGCTGAAGTCAGACGCTTAACTGACTAAGCCACCCAGGCGCCCCTTATCAATCTTTTTTAACTTTGATGAAGCCTTACATGTGATTAAATTCTCTGAATTGATTATAAATTGCTTGAATATTGTTTAGACACCCAATGAAACTTGAAGTAAAGCCCATGCTATGAAGTTTCAATATTAACGGTGGAAGTATAGGCAAAAGGAAAAGTAACAAATGTGTTAGACATCATATATGTATCTATGGATACCGCACTACACATATCAAGAAACAACTGAAGATTTGTTTTCTTTGTTAGTGTTTACTTATTTTTGAGAGAGAGGGAGAGAGGGAGAGGGAGAGGGAGAGAGGGATAAAGGGAGAGAGGGAAAGAGGGAGAGAGAGAGGGAGAGAGGGAGAGGGAGAGGGAGAGAGGGAGAAAGGGAGAGAGGGAAAGAGGGAGAGAGAGAGAGAATGAGCCGGGGAAGAGCAGAGAGGGAGACACAGAAGCAGGCAAGCAGGCTCCAGGCTCTGAGCTGTCAGCACAGAGCCTGATGTGGGACTTGAACACACCAACATGAGATCATGACCTGAGCCAAAGTCAGACGCTTAACCAACTCTGCCACCCAGGCGCCCCAAGATTTATTTTGTGAACAAGAAAATCTGAGCTATCTATTACCTAACCCATGTCCTGGTTTAATGCATTAGATTCCAGACACACACTTGAAGCCAACAGAAAATTAAGAGTGGAAACAAAAAAAAAAAGTTGATATCCAAATCCTAATTTTTGTTTTAGCAACTGGAAGA